GTTGTAAAATACTCCGGCATCTCAAAAATGTAATCCTTACAAATATCAAAAATTATCAATTTCCGCATAAAAATTTGGTAGTTAAGTAGAATATTAAATCCGAAGATGCCTGAGAACGTTATTCCTTTTTTAGCCTTTTTTCAGCGGTACATAACTTGCAAAGAAAACTAATATATATTTTATTCGAATAAATACTCTTCATACAATTTCCGCAAATTTTTTTTTTAAACATTGAAGACATTGCTCGTCTAAATTTCTTGTTGAAGAACAATGAAAGCATATATCTGTCGTTGCGTATCTCAAGATTTTGATTTGAAGTTCTTTTCTATATAAGTTTTTTTCTTCTAAATTCTTCATGGGCTGATTTTTTATGTATTTTTCGGCATATTGCAGTACAAATATACCACATTCATAAGAATCATATTGTTTGTCGCACGAAAAATTTTTAATAGACCATGTTTCCTGCTTGATTAAGAAAATCTCTTGCAAATAGTATTCAATCAGGTTGGTGACTTGCCGTGTTTAGCTTGTCTAGGATCCAAACATGATAGTTCCCTGGATTTAATATTCAATATTATAAGATAATAGTGATTATCTATAATGTGTGGAATGAGTATGGAAGTTGAAGAAGCTTCGACTAATTTTTGGTGGTTTTGGAAAGCATAAAAATCAATTTGTACGGGGAGTGCTTTGTAGGTACATTTGTTTTCATCTAAAAGAATGACAATTCTGGCATTTACAATATTATTGCGTAGCCACTGTTTTGGTCTAAGTGTTTCCAAATCAAAAAAAAATAGAAATGATATTGTCGCCAAAAGGTCTACCTACGAAATATTTATCATATAGTGTTTTCAAATTACATACAAATATTTTGTCCAAATCAAATTGTTTTAGTGTATTTTCTGAATACAATTTGTAGGGATTGTATGTATTTTTTTGGGTATAGACTCCATGATTGTGGTCAATAAATTCACGGCTACACTTTAAGGTTTCAACTGTCGTAGCAAGTTTCTGCAATCCTGAAAATTCCTGCGAAAACATAGACTGTGTTAGGCGGGATTTGTGTTTTTTTTTTTTTTTTTTTTTATTCCAGCTTTCTGCAACCATTTTCAGGTCTTTATTAGATTCTTTTCCAAAAACTTTTGACTTGCTGGGTTTTTTATTCTTTTTAGAAGCATTGACCTTTGTTCCAACTGCTACGGATTCATACAACTTATCGTATAGGAATGTTATATCAATGTCAGTGGCTAGTGAACGATAATATTTATCGACTTGCCTCACGAAGCGCCCGAGTTTGTTCTTTTGATCCTCCAAAACCAAATTTTTCAAATTTTTGTAATGAGCTTCTATTGGCCCATTACTAACACGATTGGGTTTTTTAGATATAAAACATCCAATAATATTTGTCCAACATGGTAGGAATGCGATATACTTTTTTAGTATGAAAATGAGAATTTTGGGATGGTAATATGGATTTGGTTGTCCATCTTCATCATATATTTCCAAGGATTGTACCCTTGTTAATATATCCTGAAACTCTTTTGTGAAAGGACTTGCACTTGAAATTTCTTCTAGCGTATTCTCTACAATTTCTTCTAAATATTTCTTTCCAATATTTTCATCAAAAATATATTCTTCAATAGGCGTCTTTACAAAGCTTTTCCAACATTCTCATTTAAAAATCTACCACTTAATATTGTTTGCATTCATTCAACGAAGTAAAGTTAAATGCTAACCCCATTGCTTCTCGCAGAAATTCTCCTAATTTTACATTATTTAGAGAAACTTGTTCATCAATGTCTTTACATATAATTTTAGTGTAGTGGCTAGTGCAAAATTGTATTGTCACGAAATCTATCTGCTGCGCAGCATTACCATTCAAAACTTGTTTACATTTTACCAAGTATTGATAAATGTTTGCCATTCCATTAAATTCGGCTAGAATAGCATTAATAATTGCATAGCTGCAATCCGTTACTACTCTTTTGCATAATGGCCATCTCAATTTATGGGCTTGGCATTTATCTTTTAAAAAATGTAAAAAAGAGGCAATTTCAAAACTTGTGTGATTGCACAAAATAGCATCAGCAATTGGCAGTATCTTTTTACATTCTGGTATATGTGCAATAATTGAATATAGAAAGATTCGTTTATTTGAGCATTTTAAGGGTTCCACAACGCTGCCTGTGGCGTCAATCCGAAGAGTATAATTTGCTTTTTCTAGTAACAAGGCCTCAAATTTGAATAACATTTCTATTCTCTCTAAATTAAATAAAAAAACTTTTAGTGGAGTAGCTAAATACTGTATAAAATGTATATAATTTGTTTCACTCATAATGAATGTGCTTATAAATGGATGCACATCATAATCAAAGTGGGCCTTGGCTTCAGATCGAATTTTCCGAAATGTAGATAGAGACCTTAAATTTTGTTGTTTTCCAACGAAACGTAAAAATTTTGACTGCTGATTGATTACCTTTTTCTTATACAATATTGCCTTTTTATTAAATAGTTCTGCTTTAATCAGTTGTCGTTTCGGACCCCTAACTTGACAATATTTGTGCAGGCCAAATTGGTGTTGAAGTTCTTTTTGGACCGAAACACTTTGCAAGTCTCATTTTCCAGGAATAATTTCAGTACGAACGTACAACAAGCTTGATCGTTACAATAAGCATATGCTACGAATATGTTGCCATCACTGTTAAACCTACTGGATCGTATATTAATGTCACACACGTTATTGGATGCCTCGTATGGCTCTTGCAAAAGTTTCTTTTGACTAAAAGTATCATTTTGGTTGGCTATGTTTTGAACACCTTTGCACGAAAATTCGCAATCAAAAAACTTACAATCTTTGAATGTAATTTTTCTTCTCTGTTTATCCGCAGATAAACGTTTTACCAAACGTACACTCCTGTTGGATTTTTCATTAGGACTTGCGGACTTTCGGTACTTCTTTAACAAATCCACATGGAAATCTTCCTCGGGTGTACCGTTTAGCTCGTCACAGCTAAGAATAGAACTCTGAAAAACGAATGCATCGTTATAAATATTTTGGATATTTCTAGAAAAGTAAGTGTTTGAAATTGTGATGTGATCAGAATATAATTTTTTTCTTTTAGATCTGAAACACATTTAGAAATAGTAAATACTAAATTGTATTCCTGTTTTAATACAATGGATACATACTATGTTAATAGTAAAATCATTTTTGCGTTCTAGAAATTCCGATTCATTTTCTTTATCAATCGCATTGTGGCTGTCTTCCACTATCAACATTGTTTCTAATGGAACTTCCGACACCTCAATGACTTCAATCGATTTAGTGGGATTTTCAAATATGTTTTGGTTGTCACTGAAAGAGTTATCTTCAAAAAGGTGTATATTCCTTTTTTTCCATTTTTTGAAAAATAATTGTGCTCCTCCATAATGTGGCACATTTATTATTAGGATGGACGTCAGATTTAAGATCCAAGGCATTATCTTCTATAAGAGGCCATTCTTCCACAGAATCGACTGATGTCTCTAGGACTTCTCTGGTATCTGTACATTCTGAACTGAGGCATTTTTCAATAGCCGTACTTTCTGCCATTGGTAATACGTTTGGCGACACAATTTTTTCACGGCACATTTCATCACCAGGATGATTGGCGCTCTAAAGCAATGCCTTCCATAGGAGAACAATCTTTCAGAGAATCAACTGATGTCTCTAGGGCTTCTCTGGTATCTGCATCATCTACCACTGGTAATATGTTGAGCGACATTTTTTTTCACCCAATGAATCTTTTTGTTTGCCTTTTTCAATTAATTGATTCGCATAGTATGCGATTCTTTGGCGATTTCTTTTGTTATTTTTAAGTCGCCGGTATTTTGCAACATTAGTAACTTCATTTACTTTGTCAATTATATTTTGAAAATGACCACGTTCATCGCTATAAAAATATGTTAGTTGTTCTAAGAATTTATAACTTTTTAACAATTCTTTTAAAGAAATAATGAAGCACTTCAACATTTTAGATTTTTATTTTTTGCATAACTTGGGAAAAACATGCGTTGTTTATCAAAACTCAAATACAAGTGGAATTTTTTCATATTCAAAAATTCGCTTCGTTTCATATTTACCAAACGAAATCGTCGTAGATCAGGTGGTCCATTCCGTTCCATCCCGTTTACTTTTCCAGTACAGTTTGCAACGTTTTGCACAGTATTGCATTGAAGTTTGTTATATTATATACAAATAATAATTTTAAGATAATTCGTATTACAAACGAATATCAAGTTTAAGAATAGTTAATTTTATAGCGTGTATTTAACGATATTAAAATGTATAACATTTGTATTTGAAATCATATTGGAATATCTATGCAATGCCATTTATTAAATTTGGCATCACTTTTCTTATTGAAAAAAGACGCACTACTATGTTTCAGAAATTTTTTCGTTTCATTTTTCCGCATCCTTTCATGTTTCCAATATTGTTTTCATGGTAGAAGAATACAGGTCGATGCATCAACATTTGTGAACATTGATATGTCCAAAATATTTAAATATTTCAGAGGTTCCTTGAGTAATTTTTCATTCAATATTTTTAATTTCAAAAAACATTGAAAGTTAATTGCCATGTGTCGATGCGGCTACCTGTATCATTTTATGATGATTGGATTGTAGCATGCTACAATGAAGAAAAGGTGGACTGCGTTGAAAAATGTTGCAATTAAAGATGCCTACCTGTATGGATTGTAATGTCGTAATTTCTGTCAAAACAAATGTAACAAGTTGTTTATTATCAAATAAAAAACAAAACATGTTCTATTTTTCTCTAAAGATTTTTTTAATTATTTTGTTAAGGACTCAACTGGATGGACTCAAAGGAATCTGATTAGCGGCCCCAATGCCTTCGAGGAGAGTCCACTATAGTTACAACAGGCTGACATGATGACCAGTAATCTGGATGAGCATGGCAATCAATTTGGGTTTTAAAACTGTGCCTAAATAACTGGCAGTTCTCTAGAATATAATGCAATAGTTATCCATGAGAACTGCGTAAACCTATGGTAAATGGTAGTTACCGATGAGGATATTCATTAAAGTCCTTCCAAACTGCACCAAAAGAGAAGTTACTCTCAATCTTGCTAGTTTAAAGGAACTATTATGATTGAAACTAAATGTAAGATTATTTGATAATTTTTAATACATTTTTTAATATATATTTTTTTCAGGTCATACTCACATACCTCGTAGAATATACCTTGCAATTTTCAGAAGTTTGTTATTTAAATGCCTTTCAGTTGTTACGTAAAGCCCGATTAATGACCGATTTAAATTCCCTGGCCAATTATCCGTTGTTTTGAGAGCAAACTCATTAACCGGTGTCATGTTCTAAGCAAGAATTTCGATGAAACCTCTAAAGGTTCAATTAGGTGTGCCGTAGCAATCACCATACCAATAGCTTTAATCACATCTAATGTTATCGATTAGCGGCCAAAGCCATACACAATTGTTATATATAATTTCTGCAAAAAATTTCAAATATAGAAATGTATAAATCAAATATAACAAGTTAAAAAGTATCAGTCGTACTTTGACATCTGTTATGATTATGCAAACTCTTACCCCTCTATGGAGTGGGTTGTCCATTTCATACCAGACCTAAATAAATACGGTATAAATGTTGCGACGTGACGGGTTCTGTCTATATTGGTAACTTCATCATAAAATCCATATTCAACGCAAGTTTCTGGTTGAGAGAAATATTCGGACATAGCCAATTGTAAAGAATCGCTGACTTGTTTCTTAAGTTATGACAGAAAAAGTATTGAAAATTGTGACCCTTTTTGGGTGATGTACCAGAGGGGGTTCTTCACAACAGATCTTGTGTTAGCAAAAATTCGTATATGTGAAATTTAAAGAGAGTTGAATGCTTATCTGGCTTATTTTGAGAGTTTGTTTTCCCAAAATCTTGAACCCTGTGGGGGGAGGTACCAGAAAAAATGGTATATCTTTATAAGAGATCTTGTGTTGGTGGAAATATTGAGATGTGCCAAGTCTGAATGGAATCGGATGTTAATTTCGCATGGATATTCAAAATGTTGAACCTTTGTGGGGGAGGTACCAGAAGAAGCGGACTGATATTGCCCATCTCACAACCCGATATATATATTTGACAAAATATTACGATGTACCAAGTTTGGACCAAATCGGATACTCCCTTCGAGATTTATCGTGCGTACCAGCCAGCCAGACAGACAGACGGACATCGCTAGATCGAAACCGTTATTTCGACTAGGCACGTTTTGACCATATCAAATGATATATACTCCCTCTAGCCATATGGCTGAGGGTACAAATATAACAAGTAAGCAAAGGCTATAGTCGTGCGGGGCCGATCATGTAATACCCTACAACATTACATAATGGTAGAAGTCCCCTTATGTCCAAATCCATTTTGGAAGATTTCGCTTTTGAAATTGTGTTATAGACCTTTTTGACTAGGGACATATGTCCAATACTTACGCAACCCGTCGTCCTGTTAGTTACAGTTAAATATAATCCGATGGTCATCCAAAATGATACACTTCTTCCCTGTCCTTTACTCTCTTCTCATGCTAAATTTCGTGTCGATTGGTTTCAATTGTGTGATAAGGAAAATTTTTCTGTTTTTGGTACATTTGAACCCCTAAATATTTTTCGATCATCTCCAAAAGCAAGAGGCCCCTCTGTATCTCTGAATTTAGTCCCATCTATATGATTTGCTTGTCTATGATATTTGGATATATTCGACAACGAAATCAGCACAAAAAGCCAAAAGTTCGCCTTTTTGTGTACTTTGGATATCGTCTGTATGTTATTTTCAACTGTAAAATGTAAATTTTTGTTTTTTTTTTTTTTTTTTTCTCACAAAAGTAGTGGTCCATTCTGTCCGCTGTCCTAAACTCTAACTTCATGCGAGATTTCGTGACCTTTCGTTTCTATTTGTGACCTTTATAACGGCTGCAAAATCAGGAAATTTTTCAGTTTTTGGTCCATTTCAAACCCTAAATATTATGCGATCATCTTCAAAAAAAATAGGGTTCTATTCTAACATTAAGCCCAACTAAATTTCGTGAGGATCGGGCCATAATTGCGACCTGTAGAGTGATTACAAATTAACATGGACAGACGGACGACGGACATCGTAGCTAGATCGACTCAGCTCGGCGAGATAGGAAGATCCATATATACTTTCCGATGTGGGAAATCTATATTTCGAGGTGTTACAAAATTTTGGGTCCAATCAAACTTATAATACCCCCAACACATAGTGTTGCAGGGTATAAAAAGTGTTTTTGTCTCTATAAAAGGAGAGAAATAATTTGTTAGCTTTAATTTTTCAATTTTCTGTTTTCAATATAATTTCGTTGGTAAAAATTAATATTTTTATCAGACAATTCAGAGCTAAATTTGCACCAGTATTTCAATTATGATTCATTAAAAAACAGGTAAAAAATCTGTAACTTCGTCCGGGCCAAACTTTTAATACTCTCAACCATTTGGTACAAATTTGACAATTTTCAAAAAAAAAAAAATAAAATCTAACTATGCGACGACGTAGGCCTGCATTTTTTCAAAAGTTAATACAATATTTAAATGCGAAACTTGAAGAAAAATCGGTTTATTAAGTAGCTAAAATCATCAAAATATCGAATATAGGGGGTACCGTTATATGGGGGCTATATGAAGACGTGGACCTACAAAATATACATGTGTGCAAAATTTTAGCCTTCTATCTCAATTCGTTCGAAAGAAATCGTGATTACAACAGACAGACGGATATGGCTAAACCGCCTTAGAATTTAACGCTGATTAAGAATATATATACTTTGTTGGGTCTGACATGAGTATTTCGAGGAGTTACAAACGGAATGACAAATTCATATACCCTCCATAGTATGGTGGAGGGTATAAAAACAGGAAAAGTCAAAAGTCGGGCGGGGCCGACTATATGATACCCTACACCACTATACATATTTAGTAAAACTCCCGTTGATCATGTCAATTATTAACATTTGGTTTTAGACCAGTTATAATTTGGTTTCAGATTGAACTAATGTATAGAAGGCATATCTAATTGTGAATCGATTTTCTCTAAACTGGAAGGAGACATTTTAATCTTTTATACCAAATAACATTGCTATATGGGTGCATTGTTGTGGAGGGATAGATCTTCTCCCACCCAAGTTTCCCAATCCCTCGTTGCGATGCTGCCAGCGATAAATTTTTGCCAAGAATATTAAAGCTGGAAGGGCGTCGTTATTTTACGGTTTTCATTGCTGAAAACCAAAACCATATGTAATCAACCTGCAAAAGAAAAGAAAATTATGTTAGTAATGGGAAATAGATGTCGGATATATATATAAATTATTATTATTTTTTTTTTTTAAATCCCTAAGCGCTTTGGGAGCTAAAAGGGGGGAAAAAGGGGAGGGGATAATTGGCGAACTCTCTTTTGGAGAGACTTTGTCTGTGTGCCTTCATGTTATATTTGCGATGTTGTTTATTTTATGAACCTGATGAACATATCATGCAGGTGTTCCCAGTGATGTTTGGCTATGAAATCTTCGACGGTGAAGATTCCATTGAAGGATTTGTACTTGTTTCTGATGTTGTCATGTTTGGTGCAACTGAACAATATGTGTGAAATGGTTTCTTCTGCGTTGCATGTTTCGCAGTCTGCTGAGGGTACCGCATTCATTTTATAAAGGGTGCTCTTGCTGAATGTATGGTTGGACAAAATTCGATTCATCATCTTCTGGTCGTCAGGGTGTAATTTGGATTTTTTTGGGGTCCTTTCTGGTTTGGTGAAAATTTTGAAGAAGTGGGAATTACTGTGCTCTGCAATCCTGGAGTATTCTTCTGACCAGTCTTCCCATATTTTGTCTTGTATATGGTTTATTGCATCATTTATGGGCCATCTGATGTTTAGAAAGGTGCCTTCATTTTCTGCGTTTTTCGCTGCTAGGTCTACTGTCTCGTTTTGGGTTATATTGAGATGCCCTGGAATGTAATGCATTTCAACTTTGATCTGTGCGCTGTTTGATATGTGTACTAAGTCATCGATTAAATAGCTCTTGTGGTTTTTGGATTTTATTGCTTATATTCCACTTTTGCTGTCAGTTAATATTGCAATTTTGGTCAACGCGTTATTTTGAGCAAAGGTTAGCACTTGATGGATGGCAATTATTTCCGCTGTCATGGACGCAAGCTTTTTGTCGGTATAGAAGGATTTTAAGGTATTGCTGTTGATATGCAAAAATGCGGCTCCACTGATATTGTCTATTACCGATCCGTCGGTAAAGAAGATTTCGAAGTTCTCTTCTTTCAGTTGCGCAATTTTCTCATTTATGAGTTGATTGACAATTTGAATGTTCGCTTCCGATTTTTTAGTGGCAATACCTTTAAAGAAATCTCTAACTATGTTGATGTATTTTGAAGACGCAGCTGTCGCTCTTGTTGGGGCAACGTTTAGGATGATCTCATTGAACTTTCTTAGGGTTAGTGCATAGCTGGAATTAATGTTCCCTAATTTTTGAACCTGCTTTATTACAGGGAGGCCGTATGCTTTGCTTTTTATTAACTCTTTAGCTGTACTTATCTGAAATCTGTACCGTGGTGGAAGTTCGGCTGCCAATTGGTAAATGATTGGAGTTGGGGTGGATCTGATAAGGCCCAGAGATTTGCGAAGCCATCCATGAATACATGTTTTAATTCTTGTTTCTGCGGTTTTTGTCAGATTTGACAAGGCTGCTGCACCATATTCGATTTTGGGACGCGCAAAGGCTTTATAGAAATGGAGCGCCCTGTATGGGGCCACACCAAATCTACATCCGCTGAGAATTTTTAGGAAATCGCAGGTATGGTCCACTTTATACATGGTTTCATCAACATGGACCCTAGCAGACCCACTGGCTGTGATATGTATACCATGGTATTTAATACGGTTTGTTTGGTTTAATTGTTCATTGTTGATGCTTATGTCCAGATCGCGTGGCCGCCTACAGAAATGAATGATGTTGACTTTGCTCATGTTGAAGGTGAGATCAAGGTTGGCACATTTAGAAAACATATTATGTAGCTCTTGAGTTAACAATTCTTTGGCTTTGTTGAAAAGTTTATCATGACAAAGGATGAAAAAGTCGTCCGCAAACTGAAAAATGGTGGTTCTATCTGATGTGGTGTGATGCAACTGTGCTGTGTATATGTTAAATAACACAGGGCTAAGTCCGCTGCCTTGAGGAATACAATTTGTTATGGTTTTGGTACATTTACCCAATTCTAATCTTCTGGATCTCATGCCGTCGAATATCCATTTGATTATATGCATGTTAAAGCCTTTCTCGAAAAGGATTCTTGATAGTTTGTGTACGTTGGTGTTGTCAAACGCCTTCTCCACGTCAACACAAGCGCCAACAACATGATTTCCTGATTTCCTGAGGATCTCTACAGTATTGATGAGATCATTTATGCAGCATGAGGTGGATCTGCCTGGCCTAAATTCATACGATTTTGCAGGGATGATTTTTCTTTGTTCAGT